CCCGAATGCGCGTAGCAAGGGGTTCCATGGCTATAGCGAAGAGAGCAGGCGAAATAGGGCACCCCTGTCGGCACCCCTTGAACAGGCGGAATGACTGCGACATTTCCTGATTGGTCACCACGGACGCCATTGGGTGTGCATAAATAATTCTTATCCAATTAATAAATTCCTTTCCAAATCCGAAATGCTCCAGAACCGACATCATATACTTCCACTCAATCTGATCAAACGCCTTCTCTGCATCAAGAGCTATTACCACTGCCTCAACTTTATGATCATGATACATTACGTTGAAAAGGCGTCTCAAATTGTAGTATATATGTCGGCCCGGGATAAAACCTGTCTGGTCAGGGTGTATGATGTCGGAAATATATTTTTTCAATCGGTTTGCCAATATCTTTGTCAACACCTTGTTTTCTATGGGGAGTAACGACACGGGGCGATACGACGACATCTCCATGGAATCTCTATCTTTTTTCAAGATCAGGGCTATTGTAGCCTCATACAGTGTTTGCGGGAGTTTGGTATTTTCTTTGGATTGTTGAAACATTCGCAGCATAAGTGGAGATAGACTAGCGCAGTACTTCTTATAGAATTCTATTACATATCCATCGGGCCCAGGGGCCTTGCTGTTTGGAAATTGTGCTATCGCTGTGTTAATTTCATCTAAGGTTATCCCTGCATCGAGTGCGGCAGCTGCCCCCCTGTCTAGTTTAGGAAGTTCACAATCAGCGAGAAAGCGTTCCATAGTTTGTGGATCAGTAGCATCGCATTTTGATTGGTATAGCTCTGAGTAAAACTGTGCAAAGCATTTATTAATGTCCTGCGGATCTGTTACTATTTTACCCTTCTTGTCTTTTATTTTGTGAATAGCTCTAGATGCTTGTACATGCCTTAGCTGTCTTGCTAATAATTTATGTGGTTTGTCCCCCAGTTCAAAATAACTTTGTTGCGTTCTAGCAAGTAAAGAGCCCACCCGTTTCGAAAGGATGGTATTGTATTCATACTTTAACTTTGTGATCTTCTCAAGGACTGTATACGAGGAATTTGTCCTAAAAACGTTCTCCTGTTCCCCTAACTCTCTTTCAATTTCTCTCAGCCTAGTATTGGCACGTTTCTTCCTCTCTGATGTATAAGAAATAATGTAACCTCTAATCACAGCCTTTAGAGATTCCCAAAGGGTGGAGTCGTCAACATCCCCCGTGTCGTTAGTACTGAGGAAAAAGGCAATCTGCTCCTCCAAATACTGACAGAAAGCCTCATCTTTCAACAGGTATGCGTCTAAGCGCCACGGTCGCCGACCTGTCGACATATTGTCGAGTTTCAGCACCATGGACAGAGGAGAGTGGTCCGTAATTAGAATGGGGTGATAGGTAACCGACTCAGCTGCTGAGATTAGTTTGGAGTCCAACAAAAAATAGTCAATTCTGGAATATGATTTATGAACTGATGAGAAGAAAGAATAATCCCTGTCTGTTGGGTGCGTCAGTCTCCAAATATCGACAATGTTAAGGTTTGTCATCAATGTATTTAGACAGACACTGGCATTTGATTGTTGAAGTGACCTTGATAGCTGTTTATCTAAAAGAGGGTCTAACGTACAGTTAAAGTCACCTCCAACAATAACACTTGTATCCGAGATATTTGGTATGGCCTTAAATACCCTTTGAAAAAATACTGGATCATCGAAGTTGGGTCCATATAAATTGACCAAGGTTATTGGTTTTGAATTCAGTGTACCAGCCACAATAATATACCGACCATTAGGATCTGAAATCGAGGTTGAGTAAACAAAAGGAATGTTTTTCCTTATCAGGATTGCTACCCCTCTCGCTTTTGCATCAAAGTTAGACTGGTATATCTGACCGATCCAGCCGACTCGTAGCTTGGCCTGCGCGGAGCGTTTAATATGAGTTTCTTGAAGAAGCACTATGTCAGCACCCAGTGATTTAAGATGAGAAAAAACCTTAGCTCGTTTCACGACATGCCCTAATCCATTACAGTTCCAGCTGACTATCTTTATTCCACCTGGTCTACTCTGTGCTCGGTCACTATGTGGCATTTCTTATTTTAAAGCAAATTGCTGCTGTCATACAAAACCCAGAAGAAAAACGTCCCGCCGTGCGGGAGCTTGTCATGCCACCTGTACTAATAAACGTGAACATAAAACACAGACCCCAACCCCCCTCCCGTCCCTTTACTGAGTGACTTCCCCAAACGAAGCACTCCTTGGCTAACACACAAACGTTAGGGTGTCTAGACATAAAGCTTGAACTAACTCGTCGTCTATAGATGCTCCGCATATAAACTAATATTAAATAACACTTAACTTAACTCTCATGTTAGGGGGTGAGTGGCGCTAAAACATGACATGCCAAACAATGCTATATTAGCCACAACATCTCACCTATCCTATAAGTCCCAATTTCTGATCTTCTGATCGAAAAGACATAGGCCGGAAATTCAATTCACACACATTCCTGGCCTGTATTTGGCCATTTAGCCTGCTGGCACAGCCGTTCTGTATCCTCAGCCGGGGAGCTTGCTTGTCAAGAACAGATCTGCCTCTTTTGCGTTGTCAAACGTACGTGTTGATCCCTCGACTGTCACCTTAAACCGGGCTGGGAAGAGGAATCCATATCGGATGTTGGCCGCCCTGCATTTGTTGCGTACCTCATCATACTCTTTCCGTTGGTTCCTCACCTCCAAGGTAAGATCTGGGTAGAAAGACACCCTGGCTCCGTTGTAGTTAAGGGGGAACTTTTGACTAGCCAGCTTGAGGATGAGATCCCTGGTGTGGGGATAGTGCAGCCTTACAATGAATGGCCTTGGTGGCCCGCCCTTGACCGGCTTCGTTGCCTGTGCTCTGTGTGCGCGGTCGATCAGGATGGCCGTTTTGAAGTGTTCACTCCCCAGCAATGCCGGTATCAGCTCCGAGACAAATTCAGTGGGTTTCCCTTTCTCCGTGTCCTCCTGGATCCCACATATTCGGATGTTCTGGCGTCTTGAATGCGACTCGAGCATTTCCAGTCGGGCCTTCAGGGTTTTGTTGTCATTTTTGAGCGTTGCGCACTGTTTCTCTATGTCCTGTAGCCTGGTCTCGTGATCGATTGTCGTCTGCTCAACCTCGTGCACCCTTCCCTTAGTTGCCTTCACAGTTTCGGCCAAAGTCCCAATACTCTTTGAGATATCAGCCAACCTTGTGTCCACCTTCTTGCTTAGTGCGTTTATGGCAGCCAGTATGTCACTTTGAGTAGGATCTGTGGGGAACTCTTGGAAGCTAGCCTCTTCAGCTAGCTCCTCGTGGGTCGGCGACGTTGAAATTGGTTCGTTGTCTATCTCATTCCAATTATCTTGTTTAGCGCCCCCTTTTTTGTTGCCTTTTCCCTTTGTCATATTTGTTTGAAGTTATAGGTTGTGAGAGGTTAAGATAAATATTAATTTGTTTCAAAATTGAGCGGAGCTCTAGCAATGCACGTCTACTCCATAGCACGCTCTCTAGCGCCCCCCCAGAAGGCCCTTCTTACCTTGTCTCTCAGATCGTTCACAGCTTTGTGGAAGTTACCTGTGGTGCTGATGTTTAGGCTGAGGTAGGTATAGTTTTTTGTGTGCTCTAGGGCAACGGTGTCTAGATGGAATTTGTATTTGTGGTTCTGGCAACTGGACCTTTTTTGGAACACCATTATTTTTGTCTTACTGAGATGAACTGTCAGGTCCCAGGTCTGACAGAATCTGTGCAGAAGATCTAGGTGCTGCTGTAGGCCCTACTTGCTTGGTGACAGAAGCACCAGATCATCCGCAAACAGTAGACATTTGACTTCACACTTGTTGTTTGTGTAAATTGATTTTATAAAGTCGTATATTTTTTCCCCAACACCGCTTTCCATCAATTTGTATAGCAGACCCTCATGCCACATTTTTTAAATCAACAAAGCAGGCGAAACCTTTGCCTTTGTTTTGGTTTGTTTGTTTGTCAATTAGGGTGTGCAGGGTGAATAAGTGGTCTCTCTCTCTCTCTTCCCCCCCCTGCCAACTGAAGGGCTGCTAAGTCAGCTACGGTATAGTCTCATCCAATGGGTACATGCTGCAGATACAGATATGACTCCCAAAGGATTGACACAATGCAAAAGCTCAAAGACTGCCATTACAGCCTTATAGCTCGTCTCTTCCTCAGCTCTATCCTTCTGCTCTATCACACTTTTTGTAATGGAAAGAAACAAACTGCAGCCCCCAAACATCAGTACATCCTGTTCCGTTGACTAAATGACTTATTGGTCCCCTGCACACTTTGCTCTCCCCCCGCATTCATCAAGCTCTCCTCCCAGCCTCCCTCCACCTCAAACTTCCTGTCCTCTGCACCTCCTCTCCTCACCAGCCTGGCGCTCGCCTCCCTCTCCTCGCCTGGCTGTCACTCCACCTCCCTCTGCAGTGACCTTGAGTTACAGATGGAGGGATGGTGGCTCCTTTAATACAGTGATTACTAGTCCCCCCAAATACACTCAGCACTAGATATACAGTATATTTCACTTATGGACAGCTGTGTCTAAGCGGAAATAGAAACCCTCTAAATCAAAACAGGATTATACAGTCTCTCCCTGCATGGACATTTTTTATTTCCCATTAAGCTCAAGTCAGAGATGAAATGTTGTGTTGTAGGATGAAGTCTATAGCTGCACAGCTATTGCAGCTCCATAAGAAGGGCACTTCTACTGACAGCTGAAAGCTAAGATGAAGTGATGTGATGGAGTGCAAAGACAAAAGTCTGTTGTGATCAACCACCTTCACACAACAACAACATGGCTCCTGCCATGGAGACCAACCACGGTGACTAACCATGTGACATCTCTGATAGCCACCCAGCCCCCAACACTCCCCCAGCTCTGTCAGTGACAAAGCCAGGGACACAGTCAGACTGAGATGATGCATGAAATTTTAATCAAATAAGCACTCAGTGAGAAGTGATAGGAATGGAAGGCAATCGTCCTGGCTGTGGTGAATTAATGAAGCCCCCGCCTGGCTTCCTGCATGCCAACGTCCTGACTCGGCTCAACTCATCAGCAGTCTCTGTTCCTGGAGCCAACTCCATCTTTACTGTATGACATCTCGTCTTCCAATCTCAAACACAATCCCCCCAGGGCCCCTGGTCCCACCCCACACCATGCCAACCCTCCTGTCCTTCAGCCCATCTCTGTCAGATCTGAGAGCGTTCCTGATTAGTCTTCAGTTCAGAGGCACGCATACCCTCTTCTTGACCTTGAGGGCCATGCTGGAAACAGACACAGATGTCTTGATGAGTCTCAGCAAAGAAAGTTTGACTTTTCATTCCCTCTTATGGCTGGCAGTGTCACAGCTTGGTGGGAGAAAGCTGGGTCCCAGTGCCTGGCTTCTTCTCTGCGCCAGCCCTGCCTAGAACTTCCACAGCAGACCACCTGAGCCTCTGTTATTTCTCTTGCCCCATCAGCTGGCACTGCCACAGTGCCACCAGGCCCAATCCTTCCCTCCATACCTCCAACATCCAGATGGACCAGGCCTCTCAGGTACGGCCCTGACTGACACTCACTCCTCCTGCTTCTCTCCCTCTCTCTCTTTCTCTCCCTACCCAACAGGGAGTGACATCACTACGTGCACCTTTCCTGCTGCACACAAAATTTACACACAAAAGTGTAACATTTCACCCAAGGCGGAGATGGGCATTCCCATGGCAACCAGGTCCTGTGGTATAGGCAGGGAGATTAGGCCAAGCCTGATGCCATTTGCATACAAATTGCCCAGCTGGTACCTTGTCGTTATGACAACGGCACACAGCTCCCAGAATGCCTTTGGAAGTGAGACACAAAGGCAAAGCAGCCGACCAGTCATTGATAAAATTTTAGTTTTTTTCACAATGAGAATTGTTTGCCGACAATGTTGTCATTTGAATCCAATCTCCAGGGATCTGTTTGAAATAGTGAAAATAGAGGAAGAGAGTACACTATTTAATGAATATGTGGAAAAAATATACCCATATATATTTATTTTTTGGCTTATTATCGCATAAAAAGTGATAATAGTCATAAATACATCAATCTGAAATATCTCGTAAAACCAATAATTTTATGTTGCACAACAATTAGAAAACAAAATAAATATATGTTTCTCTCTAACCAGATGCTTTTTTTTCCAGATGCTTTTTTTCCTAACTGGCCATTTCCAAAAATATAAACAATTAAATTTTGGGTTGACACTTGTTTGATACTTGATGATGCTTTTATAATGTAACACACAACAATAATCAATTTGAAATTCTCAGAGCTTTGCAGGATCCCTGAACACCACTTACAACATGTTGCCATCTAGTGGTCTGTTCTGGTAATGAATCTTACACAATAACAAGCCTCATAACTATAATATTTAGCAACAGAGCTCTCTCATTTCCATAGTCATCCTAGCTCAGTGTATTGACCAGCAGCTAAACAGCTGTGCTGGGCTGTACTGTTTGTTCCTATGGGAACTTGTGAACCCTGCATAGCCTACTTGTTCACCCCTGTGGTCCCTGTGGGGGTCCAGTTTAACCATTGGCCTGTGTGCTGCTGTCAAGCCCTTGCAGGCTACTCAATGCCTCCCCAGTGGGGAACAAAACAGCCCCCTACCTCCTTCCTAATGGTTCCTGCCTCCTTGGGTTGACCTGCAGCATTCTGGGAGAGTGATTATGTGAGGTCAAGGTGAGTATGTCTGTACACATTAAACCCTCCAGTTCCCCATAATGTTAATGTTGCTGGAGAACCCCATTGAACTGTTCTGTTACAGATTGTCAGAGACAACCGGTATAAACTGCTTTGACCTGGTTGTGAGAGACTTGTATCAGCATTACATGGCTGTATTAACCTGTGGCGGTGCTCTGAAGGTTGTGTGTGTGTGTGCGTGTGTATGCTTACGTGTATGTATGAGTGTGTGTGTGTGTGTGTAGGGGTGAGATACACCCACCTCTCGAGGGGGAGCAGAGTGGAGAGCTGACATTCCCAGCCTCTCCAGCATATAAATGCAGCATCATGCTCTCCAGGGTGAAGCTACCAGCTCTGTGGACTGGACACGCTGTGGAGCGCCTCTACATCTGACCCCTCAGCACTCCACAAGGTCACAACTGCTCTCCCCAGCTCAGACCCAAGGCCCAGGCACAGCCCCTCTTACCTGCCAACCCCCATCTGTTCAACATGGCGACCCGGTGGGGACTCTGCGGTGTGGGGAAGATCAGCCACGATTTCAGTGTGGCCATGAAAACCCTCCCTCCTGGAGATCACCAGGTACCTCACTCCACATGCTGGATGTCTCTCTTGCTCCTGCCTCTGTCTCTCTCTCTCTGTCGGCACTGACAGCTTGCCTAGCAGTAATGAATGTCTGTGTGTTTTCCCCAGTGGTGTAAAGTACTTAAGTAAAAATACTTTAAAGTACTACTTAAGTAGTTTTTTGGGGTATCTGTACTTTACTTTACTATTGATGTTTTTGCCAAATTTTACTTTTACTTCACTACATTCCTAAAGAAAATAATGTACTTTTTACTCCATACATTTTCCCTGACACCCAAAAAGTACTCGTTACATTTTGACAGGAAAATGGTCCAATTCACGCACTTATCAAGAGAACATCCCTGGTCATCCCTACTGCCTAGGATCTGGCGGATTCACTAAACACAAATGCTTTGTTTGTAATTATGTCTGAGTGTTGGAGTGTTCCCCTGGCTAACCGTAAAAAAAAAGACAATTGTGCCGTCTAGTTTTCTTAATATAAGGAATTTGAAATGATTTATACTTTTACTTTTACTTTTGATACTTAAGTATATTTTAGCAATTCCATTTACTTTTGATACTTAAGTATATTTAAAACCAAATACTTTTAGACTTTTACTCAAGTAGTATTTTACTGGGTGACTTTCACTTTTACTTGAGTCATTTTCTATTAAGGTATCTTTACTTTTACTCAAGTATGACAATTTAGTACTTTTTCCACCACTGTTTTTCCCCTCTTGTTCCAGATAGTGGCGGTGGCTGCGAGGAGTCTGGAGCGTGCCCAGGAGTTTGCCAAGAAGCACAGCATCCCCAAGGCCTATGGGAGCTATGAAGAGCTGGCCAGTGACCCAGAGATTGGTGGGTTAACAGCTTGGGAGGGCCTGGCTGTGCAGCCACAGATAATGGCTTGGTGACGTAAGTGTTTGAAAATCAGCCTCCAGCCTGTGTACTGTGTGACTGTCCCTGCAGACATGGTGTACCTGGGCGTGCTGCACACGGAGCACTGGCGCGTGGGCCTGCTGGTACTCCAGGCAGGGAAGAACATGCTGTGTGAGAAGCCCTTCGCCATGAACTCCAGGCAGGTGGGGGACCTCATTGCTGCCTCCAGGAAGTTCAACGTCTTTCTCATGGAGGTGTGGGAAAGGCTCATCTCAGTCTGTTAAAATGATTTATTGCTTGATTCTCACAATTTGTACTGTTGTCACATTACCGTAGCAAATATCAGACCTGGGTTCAAATACTATTTCAAATATCTCAATGGCTTTCACATACTGTACATTCAAAGTAAGTTTTAAGATATATTTTATTTGAAAAGACAAGTAGTTAAATATTTTAATGTATTTGGAAATACACTTGTAAAGTATTTGAAAATACTCAAATATACTCCCATACATTTAACCCAGGTATTTGAATATGTTGTTTAAAAAAGGTATTTGAAAATACTCTCAAATACAATTTGGTACAAATAATCATTCAAATAAAAGTATCCAGATCCTCAAATACACATGTATTTGAACCCAGGTCTGACAAATATAAGGCCGGATTTTGTTGATCATATGAGGGCTGTTGTAGAAATTACCAAGTTGAGGTATAGAAAGAAACTGTCTGTCTGTCCACTCCGTGAGGTGATGGTCTCTCTCTGTCTTCTCCCAGGCCATCTGGTCCCGTTGTTTTCCACTGCACAGGGAGGTTCGCAGGCTGCTGGCTGAGGACGCCATCGGCGAGGTAAAGCTGGTGAAGGCCTATTTTGGCTCCCCTCAGCTTCACATCCCCCGCTCGGTGGAGAAGGAGCTGGGAGGAGGCGCTCTGCTGGACATTGGGGTCTACACCTTGCAGTTTGTGCTGATGGTGTTCAACGGGGAGAGGCCAGAGTCCATCTATGCCACTGGAGTTCTTCTCAACTCCGGTATTAATCTTGGCACCTACATGTAGTACCAAATGTCCTGTGCGTACTGGCCAGCTAACAATCTATCACAAGATACTACTAACTGGTCATGTAAGCCAAGTACTGGTCGTGTTAAACAGATGGTGGGACAGGGACAATGAGTTTGGAATTGGGCACAACCCAAGGATCAGATTAGCATTGGGGTCAGTATTAACTAGGCCTACAACAAGGATTAATTATTGATTGAAGTGTAAAAATATAACTTGCTGTTTGACTTGTTGATGGTTGACAGGAGTGGATGAGTCCATGGTGGTGGTGATGAAGTTTTCCAGGAACAGGCTGGCTTTCTGTTTCTTCTCCATCGCTGTTTCACTGCCTAATGACGCCACCATCAGTGGAACAAAGGGCACCATCAGGGTATGCTGCTACTGAATCAACTTTTAAACTGCCCAGTCTGTTTTATCTTCATTTAGGGAAAATGTAATATAGTGATGAAAGAGCCAACAAATGCTAAACAATGTCTGATATACAGTATGTCACTGATTGAGATTTCATTGAGATGTATTATTGATTAATTAATATACTGATAAGTAAACACATATACCATAATGGCCATGTTTCATGTCCTCTTAGGTTCTAGGTCCCATGCATTGTCCCACCACACTGGAGGTGAATGGGAAGACAACACAGTACCCTCTACCTGAGCCCTCCTTACCTCTGAACTTCACTAACAGCACTGGGCTGCGCTATGAGGCTGAGGAAGTCAGGCAGTGCCTGCTCAAAGGTATGGTGGCTCCCAAGGTCTTACCAGAGAAAAACAAAATGTCTCTGTTCTAAGATGAGTGTTTGTTTGAACAGAAATACAACAACTATCCAGTTGCAATGCTGTTGGTAGATCCTAGGAAATAAACAGTAAAACTGTCAAATAAACAATAACATTGTTGTTATACCTGCTGCTTCCAACCTGAGCCTTTGCTTACAATACAGTCAGTCAATTTCTCCTTCTCTTCCCCAGGACTGAAGGAGAGCCCCAGAATGCCCCTGTCTGAATCGGCCCTGCTCACTGAGATTATGGATGAGTGCAGGAAACAGGTGGGAGTGGTCTTCAACCAGGACAGCCAATAACCACTCGCCACTCGACCATGGTCCATCTGACCTGTGCTACAGGGCCTGGACATGGACAGAGCTGTGTGTGGCAGGAGGGAGGGATCAAGCCATTGAGTGTGTATGATCCACTCATGACTTAGCCCTATACAGCTTGCACCTGATGTGAGACCAATTTGAACACAAGGATGATAAAGACAAGGACGCCTGAGTTAGTAGGCTACTGTTAGCTGCTAAAACTGACAGGTTAAATTAAGAGTACCAACGTCTGTTACTGTGAAGTGTATGATTGATGGGTTCAATAAAGGACACTGATTGTCATGGTGAGGTTTATTTCATGAGGTGACAAGTTCATCCTAAGAGGGAGATCATCAGTCAGAATACATTCAAATTGGAGAAAAAATGAATTGTCATAGACACATTGACAGACTATAACCTATTGAAACCTATTGTCTGAGTAAACAATGTATTTGCTTCCCAAAGTCATGGGTGGCAAACAAGGCGTGATGAGTCAGCAAGTTTATATATCGCACAACACAGGCTACCACATAGGCTACCTTGGCCAGCTCTAAGGTTTCAGCACACCAAGCAGTACATGGGGAAATAATGTAGATCTAAAAGTAATTTAAATATTTTATATTAAAGATTTGAAGTGTTGTAGGCCTAATCCAAAATATCAACATAAGTTATTCATTAGACACAATAACGATCAGCACCAAACCTCGGAGTCTGTTATGGGTGTAAGATGGCACGTTACTGCCATCTGTTGGTAAATGTTCATTACTGCAACACCAGTGTTTAATAACGTGTGTGCTTGATATACCCGGATGTCTTTGTAATATTCCGAACACAACTGGTTGGTTACTCGCATCAATGACGTTGTCTCGTCATTTCATCAAAACGTAGTCTGTCTCCACCTGCTGGCAAATAGTTACATGTCGTCTACGTTTCTTTTACACACCAATATGGCAACCAGGTGGGGAATCTGTAGCGCCGGGAAAATTAGCCACGATTTCACAGTGGCACTGAAAACCCTACCTCTCGGAGACCATCAGGTACTTATACCGGTTTACAGTAGACAGTGAGACCCACCACCACATACTTTATTGTGTTCGTGTTCAAGCCTCAGTTTGCTATCGTCAGCGTCTTTTCAAATTAACGTGAATGATCTGAACTGTTTTATGGTAAGAAATCAGAAGGTTGAACTGCACCCATGTAGTTAACTTTAAGTAGATTGGAAAAGTTATAATGTGACAGACCCACTGTAATGAATTTTTTGAGTTGCTGACATTACATTATTGTTTACTGCCACACGGTGTCCTCTGCACAGATTAATGGTTTACCGTAAAACTTGAACTAAATGAACACGGGAAATGTAATATAGAAGTGTGAAAGTGGTTTATTTAAAAGTACCATAGGCTACAAACATGTTGAAAATGTAAAATGATGAGTGAATGAAATAGCCCACCCTCTGGTCATCCCTAGATTGTTGCTGTGGCAGCTCGGAAACTACAGGACGCTCAGGAGTTTGCAAAGAAGCACAGCATCCCTCAAGCATATGGCAGCTATGAGGAACTGGCCAGAGATCCAGAGATTGGTCAGTGTCTTGTCTCAAACATAATCTAGCCATGCCATCAGGTGCTTAATATTTATCAGAACAGTGTTTATTAGTGCTTTTTATTATGTCATTTTTCTAAACGGCCACATGTTCAGTAATAAGATTTATTCCTCTTCTAATTCCTTAAAATGTATCCTTAATCCTGTCTCCTCATTGTCACTGTGTGTGGGTAGAGGTGGTATATGTAGGCACCATCCACCCTTACCACCTGCCAGTTGGCATGCTCTTCATGAAGGCCCAGAAGAATGTGCTGTGTGAGAAGCCTATGGCCATGAACCTCAGAGAGGTGCAAGAGCTGGTGGCCTCTGCTAAGATGAACAAAGTCTTTCTCATGGAGGTAATACGGACTGTTACACCTGTGGCATTATTACCACGTCACATACCCAGCCAGTGTTTCAACAGCACACAGGTGAAGGCGGCCCTGTGTGTGTGTGTGTGTGTGTGTTAAAAATAATACTTTATTCATCTTTATTAATGTCTGTGTGTGTAACCATAGTGCTCTCCCTCCTCCTCCTATCCCTCCTCCTCCTCCTCCTCCTCCCTCGATGCTCCAGGCAGTGTGGACCCGCTTCTTCCCGGCCTCTCTGGAGATCGAGCGCCTGCTGTCTCAGGGGGAGGTGGGCGAGGTGAAGATGGTGAGGGCAGACTTTGGGGCGCCCCTCATGCACGTGCCCAGAGCGGTGGAGAAGAAGCTGGGAGGAGGGGCGCTGCTGGACATCGGCATCTACTGCCTGCAGTTTATATGCATGGTGTACAATGGAGAGAAGCCTGAGTGCATCCAAGCCACCGGTGTCTGTCTGGACACAGGTAGCGAGACAGCAATGGGACACTTAGGAAGGAATACTAGTTGTAGCTATTGGGGGTACTAGTGGTGTACCTATTGTGGATAGCCTACTAAGTCCTTTAGCTATTGGGGATAGCCTACTAGTCCTTTAGCTATTGGGGATAGCCTACTAGTCCTTTAGCTATTGGGGATAGCCTACTAGTCCTTTAGCTATTGGGATAGCCTACTAGTCCTTTAGCTAGTGGGGATAGCCTACTAGTCCTTTAGCTATTGGGGATAGCCTACTAGTCCTTTAGCTATTGGGGATAGCCTACTAGTCCTTTAGCTATTGGGGATAGCCTACTAGTCCTTTAGCTAGTGGGGATAGCCTACTAGTCCTTTAGCTATTGGGGATAGCCTACTAGTCCTTTAGCTATTGGGGATAGCCTACTAGTCCTTTAGCTATTGGGGATATCCTACTCGTCCTTTAGCTATTGGGGATAGCCTACTCGTCCTTTAGCTATTGGGGATAGCCTACAAGTCCTTTAGCTATTGGGGATAGCCTAGTCTCGCAGATAGCTATTGTAGAAGTTCAGAACACTGTGGTCATATCTTTATATTCCTTCACTTTTCAAGATGTTCATCCTTGTGTCAACTCCCTGCTTCTGATATACAGTCCTGTGGTATCAGTGTCAGTTTTCTCCCTGTTGTTTGGTTTCTGTTGTCTGTTCTGTAATCTTTCTTTGGGTTCACTCAGAGGTCATTCCATTGCCACTGAGGTTTAAATTACAAGTGTCTTTACAACTGTTTAGCTTTAGGTTTATAATGGTTAGCTTGTAAAAGTTGGGCAACAGCTGTTTTAGTATTACATACTGAATCTGTAAATTCTGTGATTCTTTTACCAGGGAGGGAGTATGCCAGTCTTTCTAGTTTCTCTTAGATAAGGCTTCACAATCACCTCTTTATCACTTTTACTGGAGGAAAATATTTCTTAGTGCTATTCAGGTAGTCCAAAAGTGAAATATTAATGACGCACTGCAATGACAGTGCTACTAAGCAAGTGCATGCTCCATACAATGTAGTGATGTAAACCAGTGTTTACTTTAGTTTGAGTGGATGAAAGGATCTGTGAAAATGACATGATGGAAGAACTAACATAATGTTAGAGGGAGGGAAAGTGTGTCAATATGTGTTGAACATGTTAATACTGTAGGTGTATTTCTGTATTTACCATGTCATTGTGTTTGTGCTAGGAATGGATGAAGGCATGGTTGTCACGCTGAAGTTCTCCAGGAACAGAATGGCAGTGTTCACCTGCTCTATTGCTGTTATCGTTGGCACTAAGGGCACCATCAGGGTAGGTTCTACAAGAAGGGCACACTCCTCTAAAAACACAATTGATGCGTTGAATCAATAGAGCATCATTGCTAATTCAAACCACCTACTAACCATAAAGTATAATAATACAGTATGTATTCTAATGTAGGGGTGTACACTGTATGTGTTAATTGACCTAGGTTCCTGAGCACATGTGGTGCCCTACCTCCCTAGTAGTGAATGGGAAGGAGACTCAATACCCTCTGCCTGAGCCCTACCTGCCCCTCAACTTCATCAACAGCACTGGGATGCGCTATGAGGCAGAGGAGGTGCGCCAGTGCCTGCTCAAAGGTACACTGATGAGACCATAGATATAACATTGTTTTTTCTCTATCAACTATTCCCCATGTATGTGTGCAACATGGATTGGCTTTCAACTAGCTCCCCACCTCCCCTAAATGTTGATGCAGTTACAGAACCATGTCTTGTTTACTCAGTATGAATTCACCACAAGATGGCAGCAAACCATCTGAAATGCCCTCAACATGTCTCTCTCGACAGACATTCAGCTAGCTTGAGACTTCTGTTATTTAATTTTTTTGTCATTTAGCAGACGCTCTTATCCAGAGCGACTTACAGGAGCAATTAGGGTTAAGTGCCTTGCTCAAGGGCACATCGGCTGATTTTTCACCTAGTTGGCTCGGGGATTAGAACCAGCGACCTTTCGGTTACTGGCACTAAGCTCTTAACCACTAAGCTACCTGCCGCCCCAGACTACTCCACAGACAAAATAAACCACTGGCAAATTCAACAATGGGCCTTTTCATGAAATAATAATAATACAAATATTTGTGTGGAGAAACAGAATATTTGTGAGATGATTTGCATACCGCCCCAACAGATCCACAGATGGCGCAATCTCTATTGCACTCCACACTGCCCTTTCCCACCTGGACAAAAGGAACACCTATGTGAGATTGCTGTTTATTGACTACAGCTCAGAGTCCAACACCATAGTGCCCTCCAAGCTCATCACTAAGCTAAGGAGCTTGGGACTATACACCTCCCTCTGCAACTGGATCCTGGACTTCCTGACGGGCTGCCCCCAGGTGGTGAGGGTAGGCAACAACACATCCGCCACACTGACCCTCAACACGGGGTCCCCTCAAGGGTGCGTGCTCAGTCCCCTCCTGTACTCCCTGTTCACCCACGACTGCGTGGCTGCGCACAACTCCAACACCATCATTAAGTTTGCTCTGACGACACGACGGTGGTAGGCCTGATCACTGATGACGATGAGCAGTGTGGTGCCAGGACAACAACCTCTCCCTCAGTGGGCAAGACAAAGGAGCTTATCATGGAGGGCCGAACACGCCCCCATTCACATCGATGGGGCTCTAGTGGAGCGGGATGAGAGCTTCAAGTTCCTCGATGACCACATCACTAAGGACCTACAGTGGGGGAAAAAAAGTATTTAGTCAGCCACCAATTGTGCAAGTTCTCCCACTTAAAAAGATGAGAGAGGCCTGTAATTTTCATCATAGGTACACGTCAACTATGACAGACAAAATGAGAATTTTTTTTCCAGAAAATCACATTGTAGGATTTTTTATGAATTTATTTGCAAATTATGGTGGAAAATAAGTATTTGGTCAATAACAAAAGTTTCTCAATACTTTGTTATATACCCTTTGTTGGCAATGACACAGGTCAAACGTTTTCTGTAAGTCTTCACAAGGTTTTCACACACTGTTGCTGGTATTTTGGCCCATTCCTCCATGCAGATCTCCTCTAGAGCAGTGATGTTTTGGGGCTGTCGCTGGGCAACACGGACTTTCAACTCCCTCCAAAGATTTTCTATGGGGTTGAGATCTGGAGACTGGCTAGGCCACTCCAGGACCTTGAAATGCTTCTTACGAAGCCACTCCTTCATTGCCCGGGCGGTGTGTTTGGGATCATTGTCATGCTGAAAGACCCAGCCACGTTTCATCTTCAATGCCCTTGCTGATGGAAGGAGGTTTTCACTCAAAATCTCACGATACATGGCCCCATTCATTCTTTCCTTTACACGGATCAGTCGTCCTGGTCCCTTTGCAGAAAAACAGCCCCAAAGCATGATGTTTCCACCCCCATGGTTCACAGTAAGTATGGTGTTCTTTGGATGCAACTCAGCATTCCTTGTCCTCCAAACACGACGAGGTGAGTTTTTACCAAAAAGTTATATTTTGGTTTCATCTGACCATATGACATTCTCCCAATCCTCTTCTGGATCATCCAAATGCACTCTAGCAAACTTCAGACGGGCCTGGACATGTACTGGCTTAAGCATGGGGACACGTCTGGCACTGCAGGATTTGAGTCCCTGGCGGCGTAGTTTGTTACTGATGGTAGGCTTTGTTACTTTGGTCCCAGCTCTCTGCAGGTCATTCACTAGGTCCCCCCGTGTGGTTCTGGGATTTTTGCTCACCGTTCTTGTGATCATTTTGACCCCACGGGGTGAGATCTTGCGTGGAGCCCCAGATCGAGGGAGATTATCAGTGGTCTTGTATGTCTTCCATTTCCTAATAATTGCTCCCACAGTTGATTTCTTCAAACCAAGCTGCTTACCTATTGCAGATTCAGTCTTCCTAGCCTGGTGCAGGTCTACAATTTTGTTTCTGGTGTCCTTTGACAGCTCTTTGGTCTTGGCCATAGTGGAGTTTGGAGTGTGACTGTTTGAGGTTGTGGACAGGTGTCTTTTATACTGATAACAAGTTCAAACAGGTGCCATTAATACAGGTAACGATGTGGAGGACAAAGGAGCCTCTTAAAGAAGAAGTTACAGGTCTGTGAGAGACAGAAATCTTGCTTGTTTGCAGGTGACCAAATATTTATTTTCCACCATAATTAGCAAATAAATTCATTAAAAATCCTACAATGTGATTTTCTGGATTTTTTTTTCTCATTTTGTCTGTCATAGTTGACGTGTACCTATGATGAAAATTACAGGCCTCTCATCTTTTTAAGTGGGAGAACTTGCACAATTGGTGGCTGACTAAATACTTTTTTCCCCCACTGTATCATGGTCCAAACACACCAACAGTTGTGAAGAGGGCACAACAATGCCTCTTCCCCCTCAGAAGGCTGAAAAGATTTGGCATGGGCCCTCAGATCCGAATCTATGGATTTCACATGACTGGGCAGGGGCGCAGCGATGGGTTGGCATAGAGCCATGCCCAGTCAATCAGAATGAATTTTTCCCCACAAAAGGGCTTTATTACAGACAAAAATACTCCTGTTTCATCAGCTGTCCTCAGACGATTCCGCAGGTGAAGAAGCCTGATGTGGAGGTCCTGGTGTGGTTACACGTGGTCTGCGGTTGTGAGGGCGGTTGGATGTACTGTCAAATTCTCAAATGGAGGTGGCTTAAGGTAGAGAAATGAACATTAAATCCTCTGGCAACCGCTCTGGTGGACATTCCTGCAGTCAGCATGTCAATTGCACACTCCCTCAACTTGAGACATCTGTGGCATTGTGACAAAACTGCACATTTTAGAGGTGCCTTTTGTCCCCAGCACAAGGTGCACCTGTGTGATGATCATGCTGTTTAATCAGCTTACTGATATGCCACTCCTGTCAGGTGGATGGATTATCTTGTCAAAGGAGAAATGCTCGCTAACAGGGATGTAAACAAATGTGCACTAAATGAGGGGGGGAAAAAAACATTGTGCATATGGACAATCTGTGATCTTTTATTTCAGCTCATGAAACCAACACCTTACATGTTGCGTTATTTTTGATCAGTATATATATATATTTCAGCAGATCTTTTTAACTGCATTGTTGGGAGTGGGCTCGTAAGTAAGCATTTTGCGGTAGTCTAACCCGGTTGTATTTGGCACGTGACCAATTGTTTGAATTGATGAGTGTTCCTGGCAATGTGTGCTCCTGGCAGTGTGTTAGAATGACGTAGTCTGTCGGAAGACAATGCAATTTCTGGTGATTATCTTGTGTCCTGTAGGCCTGAAGGAAAGCCCCAGGATGTCACAGGCAGACTCTCTGCTCCTGGCTGAGGTGATGGATGAGGCACGCAGGCAGGTGGGGGTGGTTTACAGCCATGACCAACAGACCTCGGTCTAACACCTTTGTTCAATAAAATTACCCACTGAAAAATTGTCTTTGTCATCAAAACATTTTAAGTACACTGACTGTCCCTAATTTCTTGATATCATAGATCAAATATTCTATGGAGTCCTTGTAGTAATAAGACCACATTAATTACATGAACTGAAGCACATTTGTAGTGTAAATTCTATGTAGCTCCTGGGCTAACAAAACACAGCAAAATGGGCGAGCCGGTCTGAGATGGCGTGTACACAACCCAGAGTCTGTCTGACCCTATAAACCCTCCTATCCTCTAAAAACTGTTATACAAACATGACAGGAACAAGACAGGTGCTCATCTCTTTTAATGATTGAAATACAGTCATGAAGGACAACTCAGTACACCAGATTAACATTGTATTACCCTTAACATTGTTAGACCTTACACCCTACTATCAAAATCAAAGCAGTTGGACATTTAGACACACAAACTAGGTCACCAACAGACAGGAGCTAGAGAGGAGGAAGGGAGACGTGCTCCACCCATCAGATGGGGTTGAGGGGGGCGGGGCAGGAGGTCCACCCCCCCCCAGTGCCCTCTGAAAGACCCTCAAAGTACTGAATTCATTCAACATTACATTTGGAGAGAACCATGTAGCAGCTTACATACATACAGTGGTTCTTAAGTGCCAACTTAGTTATGACAAATACAAATAAATGTAAGGGCTTTCTAATAATACTTCTCAACACACTAAACAAAAAGTAACTGTAGTCAAATAACTAACATGGACACCCAATACATTATAGGATTTCTCTATGTTAGACAAAATATACGTAGTATTGGATGCCCAGAATCTAAAGTCATTCACAAAAGTCAAGTATAATACAGAATGTTACATTGTCTACAGTAGATTGGGAGTGCAGAGAAAGCAAGTATACAGAACAATGTAAATACAGACAGCACAAGGGCTCTGTTTGGGAGAAGAGTTTAACTGAGACAGGGCCTTAAAGAAGAGCCGTTCGCGGCGGGTCGCCACCATTTTGTTCGCTTTATAGGCATGGGAGTGTGTGTTTTGTCCAAGTTACAGTACAGCAGGCTCTCTTAAGGTGTGCCCCGCCTCCCTCTCCGCTCTAAACAGAGGCGCCCGGGACGTGCAGACAGACAGGCCAGGTTGCCGCTCTTTCAGTCTGGTTTGAGTAAGAGTTATACATGGGTTTGTTTGTGTGAATAAATACAGCTGTTTCTGGTGGGCGCGTAAAGATGCCCTGGAGACTGGGGTACAGGGGGCAGAACAGAACACACCTACGTGAGGGAACCCTGGAAAGGAGTGGATTGTAGTGGGGAGGAGATTTCCTATTGGACGAGTCACCACCACTGGCCTGTCCTTGGGGAGGAAGAAGAGGCCAGCTGTGTTTCAGTGAGTCTAAACTGTTGTGGGATGTACGAGTGTCTGAGCCCTGGTGTTTTGTACAGGGGCAGAGGGACAAGGAGGCGAAGACAGTGGAGGGGTGAGAAGGGGAAAGGAGGGTAGTCATAATTCAAGGAACCACGACCACACGCATGGTGTTGGTGTAGCCAGAGCCTGGGCGCCAGCCGGTCAGGACGATCACCACATCGCCCTCCTTGACGAACCCTCGCTCCTTGCCTGGAAAACAAAGAGCACAGGTGTCAATACCGTACACATACCAATAGAACGTCAACATGGTCAATACCATACACATACCAATGGAATGTAAAAAAATAAAAAATAATCACCATACCAGGATTAGTATCGAGATACCAAAACAATACCACAGCAAAAAATAATAATTATCCAAAGTCAAAGAATGGCACTTGATCCAGACAGAAACTAGGCTACTACACTGTTCTGGCAAATCTTTGGCCATTGAGTTCAATATTACATTTGAAATGTTCAAAATGGCAATTTTTTCCCTGAGACAGCCATGGATTGTTTTTTACCAAAGTCAAATTGATTGTATAATTGATTCATTAATGCATACAACTACAACAATGGTAATCATTTATTTGAATAGTAAATCTATTGATCATCTTGGTAGATCAAGATGTAGCCTAGGCCTACTCATAGGATGCTTTGAGTTATTGAGCTTATTTTGGTCTATGGGGCTACAGATGACAATCGGTTTACCTTCCATTTGTGACTTATTTTATTGTACTGATCAACATTTGCATAGAAGTAGCAAAATCGCTTTTTTAAAATCGCACACTGTTTAAGGAAGTCATTCACGAGGCACATGCAGTCAGTTCGGCGAGGGAGAGACGATTAACCCAGTGAATGTTTTTGTTGACAATCAGCTTTGAAATCAGCATATGATCACAAACAAAGTTCTAGGGAGGTGAATTGATGTCAACTTAAGCTAGCAAGGAAAGTTAGTATGGGTGTGCGCATCTTCCCCTTTCAAGACAAATCGATACGTTGTAGTTTGAAACTATTCTGTGCGAGTCGGTTTGATTAGAGGAACGAATCGATACAACACTAACATTTGTTGTATACAAACACATTCATTTTCCATTCTAAATTAAAATCTGCTGCTAATGGAGCTCATGAGCTGGGGGCCTCTGAGCTGGATCTGTCAGAGTTGACTCATATGCATGCATATAGGATGTATATGGTGGAAGTAGACACCCGAGCCATAAGGGATACTGGGCATCCACCCCCTCGGCACATTCCTCACTCGCTAGATGAGCAATTAAAATCAAATCTTCCGCCACCCCAAAAAAAAAGGAATACAAAAAAAAAAAAAGAAGTCTTCTGATGTGATTTAAGCATTGTCATGGACATCAATTTCATTGTTTCTATGAACAACGAAGTAATCTAAAACCAAGAAAAATTAAACAGAAAACTATTTGGGAAAATATAAAACTGAATTTGGGAGAAGAAAATAGATTTTAGGGCCCCCCCCTTAGTGGTTTATTAACCATTATTTTACCAGGTATATTGACAAAACAGTGCAATACTTTCTCTTGTACACTAATGACACGGAAGACTTGGAGGGGAGAGGAATGTGCCCATTTGAAAGCTATAATTTTTTTTAGTAGATCGCAAGTTTAAATATTTTTTTAAAGTAGCTCTCATGCTAGAAAAAGGTTGGAGACCCCTGGTTTAGACCGTTTGGAAGCTGAAGGACTGAGTGAGCTTCTCTTCTGGTGAGCACTAAATAACATAGATATCCAGTAGATCTTACAGCTCATGAAAATAGCTTTAAAATGGCTGCGGACTCTCACCCATTTCCATGGCGAAGTTGACCCGGAGGTCGACGTCCTCGGCCCAGACGTCGTGGGCAGGCTTGTTGTAGAGGACAGGGAAGATCCCACGATACAGGTGGGCCTGGCGGGCGGTCTGGCCGTTACGGGTCACAGCAATGATGGGGGCGCGGGGCCTGTACCTGGAGATCAGGTGGGCTGACCTGCACACAGACAACACAGCTCAGACCCCTTCAGCCAAGGACACACCCAAGGCCTGCTGCCATTCCCATTTCAGATACTGGCAATATGACTTGAACAAAGCCTACTAAAATGCATTTCTGAAATATTAGGGAACTAATGATTTGATTAGTAGAGGACCTACTATAGTAAAATAAATGGTTTGCGTAACCCTAAAGTACGCATTGATGTCAATGGGAGATCATTTGAACTACATGCCAAGTCTGTAAGCATTTGTCTCATTGTGAACATTAAACAAGCCAATCAAAGTTACATTTCATCCTGTCAAACACTTCAGAAGCCAAGGTTGTTGGGGTTGCAGACAGTCACTCTAGATTGGTCAAACAAAGTCAGCACAATGAGAGTTCAAAATAGTCTGGAAAATGTCAAGGTTGAGCAGTCAAAAGGGTCAGTTGATGTGAGGGTGAACACAACTCAATGACTCCTGCAGTGTTTTGTCAATACAGCTGCAGAACCTTCTACCCTGACAAACTGTATGGATCTACCAGTGTAGGTGTTCCCAATAATGTTGGACTCTTAAAAATATTAAGTTTTCATAAAAAAAAAGATCAATAAAATGTTATATTTGTAGCTACAGATCTGCCTCTACAGAGTGGCCTCTGTGCATCCCCAATTAGAACAACCCAGTTCACTCCAACCCATAACACACTCCCCCACCCACCCTTCTACAGCTCACATTACTCCACCCACCCTGGAACACTCCACACACAGAGGGGTGACGTCTATCTGGGACCATGCAACCGTTCCCCACCAATCTAAAGTAGGGGAATAGGATGTTAAGGGGCAGAGTTGCATGTTCTGTGAGTCCCTTACCTGCTGCTGCCTGTCCCTCTCCTCCCTGCCTTTCTCTTACCTGCCCGTCTTTGTGAGTACGATGAGGGCGCTAGCGCAGCACTTGAATGAGGACTCCACTGCGCCACAGGCCACGGCCTCAGAGGGGTCCCGGGTCAGGTGGGTGGTGCGTCGCAGCTCCTCAAACAGCTGTCTGTGAAAGGTGGCTGCCTCAGCCTCCCGAGCAATCTGAGTGTGTGTGAGAGTGGGCCCGAGGGAGGGGGGGGGCACGGGGGTTACACTCAGTCACACCACCACGACACACCACCGCGAGGCGCTCCTCGCACCGGAGAGGCATGGCAAACGCTTATACAGTCCTGGTCCAGTTCATTTACAGAGATGCATAGGTGTCACGACTAAAACTGGCTGTCAATAAGAGCCACTACCAGATATATAGCCAATTCTTATAATGATTCAACTTTGTGGTCTCCAGTTTGTTGTGACCGTAAGGACCTGTAAACATGTGCCATGCCCTCTCATTCAGTCCCTGTCTCTCCCTACTCTGGCTTCACAGAAACCTCCTGAGTCCCCCTCCCAGCCAGCAGTGCTACAGCCACCTGCCTACCTTCCAGAGTTAGTGAGCACAATGAACGCAGAGGACAAGATCTTAAAGGAGGCCTCCACGGCGCCGATGGCGATAGCCTCGGCCGGGTCGGTGGAGTGCGGCGCCGCGCGGCGCAGGTCCTCGAACACCTGCCGATGGAACATGGCTGCCTCTGCCTCACGAGCGATCTGGCACAGGCGAGGGCAAGATGTAGCAGACAGACAAGGAGAACGCCAGACAGACAGATAAGGAAAGAGAGTGATAGGAGGAAAGGACAGAGGGAGGGTAGGACGTTTAGGTAAAAGGAATAGGATGAGGAGAGAGTAGGTAGGTAGAGGGAAAGGAGAGAAATGTAGGTTTAGTCAGTGCCGTTTAGTGAGACAAGAACATAACAAACATGTTAAAACACAGCCAATGGGCCACCACAGCCACTCCATTTAGCTATGGCATCTAACACATCACAGCATTATAAAACACAACCTAAACTGCTTCTATAGTTAGAATTACATTCTGATACAGCATATCACCCAAACTGACTTTGCTCATTCAAACTAGTTAGCTGTGAAGAGGTTTTATGAGATGGGCAGATGACTATAGCCAATTGGTGTTATAACATGCATGCCTTACAGTCACACAGGTGAAGAAGCGATATTGTCAAACAGGAAATGAGACGAGTAAGAAACTGCTTTCAAAATCCAATAGAAACAAAGAGGGAAAACATTCAAAGACAGTAAAAGAGAAGCTGTTAAGAGGCAGAGTTAGTCTGAGCGTAATGTTAGCCCTTGTGTAGGACAGTGCTTTCAGTTAACTCACAATGCATTCTTAATAGAGAGGTGAAAACATGTTTAAGAGTGTGAAGGACTTGATGCTGCAGTGAGCTCATAGGCAGGTGCTCAAGGACTGCTGAGTCACTCCTGCCTGCATCCAGAGAGGAGTGCAGCAGCAGAAATAGAGTAGGACAGTGGAGGTCAGCTGTTAAAGAGCTGAGCTGAAGAAAAGGAGGGCAGGGTCAGTCACATTCTCCACCCATGCCCTACACTCTGTCCTGCTAAACCTAGTGAGCATCCCCAACCCATCTATGGATCACCACAACATTTTGACTCAATATTATACTGGTCAAATCCAGATTGCTTTTGCTGACCCTGACATAAAACATAAGACATAAAACATGAATAAATAAATATGTGAAGTAGAAATGTGTGGTTGACTTCCACATAACTTCCAGTAGTCCTGACCCTCCTGTTGATAGGTCTACACAGTTTAGGTCAGGACGAGTGGTAGTCAGGGGCTGATGAGACCCAGACTGAAGGACAGTACTGGAGGGTAACTGTAGGGGGCACTCGGTCTCACCATGTGCTGTGTGCGGACAGCCTCCAGGGGGTAGTCTCCCTTGGCGGTCTCTCCACTCAGCATGATGCAGTCAGCTCCATCCAGCACGGCGTTGGCCACGTCACTACCCTCAGCACGGGTGGGCCTGGGCTTCTTGATCATACTCTCCAACATCTGTAGGAAGGACAGGGGTTCACAATGTCAGGCTACTAACAGTGTAATAACATGCACAACCTTTCACATCACCACAACAAACATGTGTAGCATCCCTGTTGAAATGTCTCCTGTTTTTCAAAAAAAGTGTCACAAGTAAACTGACCTGTGTGGCGCAGGTGATTGGCTTGCCGGCTCTGTTGCAGCGGCCAATCATCATCTTCTGGGCCAGGAACACTTTCTCTGTGGGGATCTCAATTCCCAGGTCTCCACGGGCAACCATGATGCCATCACTGGCTTCCATGATTTCGTCAAACCTGCACAGGGGACGGGAAACAGGATTCAGATTTACTATTCTGATTTAACATTCCTATCGCGTTTATGAACTATGATAAGAGATACTGCATGCCATTTAATATAATGTGCATTCAGTGATGGAACGTAAAGATTTTGGGCACTGGCCAGTTGAGCACAATTTCTACTAGCCAAGGGTCCAAAATCAGCTTGTATTTCTTTGCATTTAATGCCATCACAGACCTGCGGACTCCCTCGTGGTTCTCCAGTTTGCTGATGATCTTGATGTTCTTGCCCTTCTCTCCCAGCACCTTCCTGACAGCGTGCACGTCGGCTGCTTTACGGATGAAAGAGGCAAACACCATGTCCACGCCCTGCTCCACACCGAAGGTCAGGTCAGAGATGTCCTTCTCAGAGACAGCAGGCAAGTCCACAGCAGCACCAGGCAGGTTCACACCCTTCTTACTGCCCAGGGTCCCTCCGTTCTCAATCTCACACATCAGGTAGTCGTTGCCTGGGGACACACATTGGAGAGGACACCATTACATCTCCAGGCTAAAGAATATGAAAGAACCATCTCTATCCTTTAACCACCCAAAGGTTCAGTAAGTGAGGGGATTCTAGGGCTCATAGATCCTCAGAGGAATATTCTCTAGTCTATTTAGTTCTTCTTAAGTGGGAGCCAGACACGGACTCTTAGATAACTCACCGATCTCCTTGACCTGGAGGGACACAAGTCCGTCATCGATGTAGATCTTGCTGCCCTGCTCCACCACCCTGGTGATGTTCTTGTAGTCCAGCCACAGATTGTCTTCATCACAGTTCTCCTGGTAGGCATCATCCAGGGTCAACTTGATCATGTTGCCCTTCTTCAGCTCCACCTCAGATGTGCCACTCTGACACACACAGGACCATGGATGAGTCTCAATAGGAACCATGACTATTGGGGTTCAACCACTCAAATGGCTCATTGAAGTAAAAGGAGCAGAGTTCGAAATTGGTCTCAAGCTTGAAGTAGTCCAGGATATCTTTATCACAAGCCCTTCAATATCAGTTCATACAGACGTAGGATCTTAATCTGATCACCCGGTTGCAGGAGAACTTTCCTGCAATGCAGGAAATGTAAACCTTGTAGTGTATTTGGGGTTTAAAAAGGCTTCTGAAGTTTGTAATTTCTACTTGAAATTTCAGGCTTGATTTGCCTTAAGAAAAAATGATCAATCCCTACAAAAAAAAGTATATTAACTATAATCCACATTTCCTGTTGCTGCAGGATTATTTCCCAGCTGTAGCAAACTGGCTTGAATTAAGATCCTACATCTGTACTCAATATTTTTACAACAAAATGAGTGTAGTAAACATTGGATAGGGCCTCCAATCAGTTGATGTGTGCTGGGAACATGGTTTGATCATTTCTACTCACTCCCTTGATAAGTCCAGTCCTGATCTCAGGTCCCTTGGTGTCCAGAGCGATGGCCACGGGGCGGTAGTGGATGCTGCCGGGCTCAAAGCTCTCACAGGCCTCACGCACATTCTTAATGGTCTCACAGTGGTACTGGGGAACAGAGAACAGAATAAAAAACATTTTCTAGAAGAAAATAATTTTTGAACAGGCTTGTACATTTAACACTAAAGCAATAACGCATCATTGACATTTTATTTCAGTGATGACGTGAGAGATGGACCAGGCGTGGGGAGGGAGGGGAAAACTCATGAAGGGTAGAAACCTAGTGTAGGTGTAATGAGTCACGCAACTGAACATAATCACCTGACAACATATCAGGGTAGCGCAATAAGACAAGATATGCCTTATAACTACTACCAACAACTGGGTCATCAACGTGAGCGAAATATGACCGCAATCAAGGATGTGGTCTAGAGTCTAGACAGTTACCAGTAGGTCAAACATATCTAGCTACCCTCTGTATAGGTACCACTGAGAAAGTTAAAATGGTTTTCAATTATTAAGGCGAAGATGTTCTGAAGAGCAATAGAAAACATTCTCCCTGGATTTCTAGGAAGAGGTCACTTAAATTGGTCATATTTTCAGCTACAACATACAGTACAGAGTAATTATTTTATGTAAACAGTGCGAATCAAGAAGGCAAATGCATGTCGCAGCGGTTAGCCGATGGCCCTGGGCAGATAAACTGAACAGTCAAGCAGGTGGAATCTGCTTTGTGGCTGCCCGGGTTGGACAGGTGAAATTGTCCCGAAGACCACTGTTATTTCGCATTGATTCTACTGTTCCATTTGTTCATTAGCAACTCACAACAAAAAAAGAAACCAAGGCCAAGCCATTACACAGTTATTTCCCCACTCCATCTAGTTCACACACGCGCTCCCATTAGGCCTTCAGAAATACTGCCTATAAAAACGTATCTAACTGATGGGATACATAAAACTGTAGACAAGCTACATTCCTTTTCCCCTTCCATGTCTCACTCAATTCCGACCGCTCCCTCTAGTTTACACACAAAAGCTCCCATTAGGCCTGCAGAAATACTACCTATAAAATATATATAACTGATGGGGTACACAACTGTAGACAAGCTACATTCCTTGCCACTCATGAACACTTTATCACAAATAAAAAAAATTGACTGGTTGATTGAAGTAGGAAGTAGGCCTGCGTTCCAACCACAAGCTGCATTTTTTGAATTGGTGGTGTGTATTTTCCTGTACCATTTTGTAAACTGCTAGTGTGCCATTTAGAATAAGTTACAACCCCCCTAAACCTAGGCAGGTTTCAGACTGAAATATGCAACAAAAACATTGTTTTGGTAAGTCAAAGAGCATATTTTTGAGAATCATTAGTCTACCTTATTATTTAATAAAATCCTGCCCACCAAGTTTAAGCTCACAAACTAAACATGGAAAACCAATTAACACCCACCAAATCTGGTGAATTTAAGCTCTCAACTCCTAATACTAAGGGAAAAACACCCTGTTAAAAACGGAAGTAAACTAAACAGTTAGAAAGCTGCACCATTTCGGAAGCACGTGTCGTGGATCAACTGGCGCTTGCAGCCCTTCATTTAGGAAATCACCTCATAATGCAAGTGTTTCAGTTTAGACAGAATATTCATTTGATTTAGCTGCCCAGTGTGCTAGCTAGGAAGTGGGTTTACAGTTTCATTAATTTGCCATGAGAAAAAGGCTTGTGGAAAAAGCAACTCCCTCACGAGCCGCTCATCAGTGAAGGGATAGAATTGTATTTTTGGCAAACTCTTTTTTCCACTTGACTACTATAGAAAGTTGAGTTAATAAAGAATCCACATTATGAATACCTCTTCTCAGCAAGTTAGACATAATGGGCCTCCCAAGTGGCGCAGTGGTAGCTGTGCCACTAGAGATCCTGGTTCGAGTCCAGGTTCTGTCACAGCCAGCCGCGACCGGGAGACCCATGGGGCGGCGACCGGGAGACCCATGGGGCGGCGCACAATTGGCCCAGCGTCGTCCAGGTTAGGGGAGGGTTTGGCCGGCAGGGGTATTCTCATCCCATTGCGCACTAGCGACTCCTGTGGCAGGCCGGGCGCAGTGCATGCGGACATGGTCGTCAGGTGTACGGTGTTTCCTCTGACATATTGGTGCGGCTGGCTTCCGGGTTAAGCGGGCATTGTGTCAAGAAGCAGTGCGGCTCAGCTGGGTTGTGTTTCGGAGGACGCACAACCCTCGACCTTCGCCTATCCCGAGTCCGTACGGGAGTTGCAGCGACGGGACAAGACTAACTATCAATTGGATACCCCAAAAATATATATATTTTTAAAAAAGACCCAAAAAAGCATGTTTTTGAGTTGTGTGATTTAAACATTTTTGGGACTGGGGTGGCTGGTGAAATTTTTATTTTTATTCACAAGACACTATGACTGGTTCACCAAAAGGTGAATTTCATTTCCCCCATGTTGGAGTGAAAGACAACTCAATTTATGGCATGTGCAAGTGTAAAACCAAAAAAAAATAAAAAAGTTGGCCAAGTAACCATAATCTTCAGGCATGTGAAAACTGCTCCCAACTTGCCAGATGGGCAAGTGCCCATGAGAGCTTATTGTCAACCCGATTTTTACCTAGTCCCTATTTAGATTAGACACTCCGTGCAATACCCTTTAGCAGTTGTAAACTTGTGGTTAACATGAAACCTTATTCACAGACAGCATGACCTGGACATGTACTCATCAAGAGAACACAGTTTACAAAGAGTTTAATACACTACTACAACCTGCCTGTCCACATGTACATTACAACTATGCTGATGGTTGAGTGGCAGTGCTAGAGTTGCCCTTGGAGACAGCTGCCCCAGACGGATCATGATGCTTCTCCCCATCTGGGTAAGTAACCTGAGCTTTACCTAAGCACTTAATTGGCAGGTAATCAGACAGGGCTTCATTTCCATTCTCTCCTTCCCAGTTATACTGCACTGTTGTTACTGTATCACCACAAACAGCCTTGGCATCAAAGGGAGCCAATAGTGCACAGTGCCAAATTAAACCAAGATAACTACATTCTCAGCATCTCTCTTAGATCAGCTAGTCAGACAAAGCCAGGTAATCTGAGAACTGGGTATAGTTTCAACAAGTGGAAATGTCATTCCATGAAGCTATAAATAAAGACGTGGATGTGCCCTTCCTAACATTCTGATAAGCCTCCATGATGCAGCACAGTCAGTAGAGGAGGGCCAGAAGACAGGATGACAAGGTGAGTGGCTCAGGCCCCCTGCCTGAGAGTAGCAGGTTAAGACAGAGGAAGTGTCATTGGCCTGCTGAGTGACCTCTACTGAACAGGGAATTGGAGCAGGTGACAGTGTGACGAGTGGGAGTGACTCCACCTGTTGCTACAGGCCTGCACCCTGGGTGGGGTGATAAAGCTACAAGAGGAAGGCACAGATTAAGTATTTATAGTGGCACAAGCCACCTCAGGTTAGGTTTCCACTGCTGTCTGTCTGCTCCATCTCACAGTTTAGTGCCTACCTTTGATCCTGCCCAGACAACTCCACCCTTGAACTGCAGATCCTGGTTGGCACGCAGTACATCGCACGTTCAACGACATCTTCTGAAGGTAGCTAACATGTTGCAAAGGAGCATGCCTGACTGACCATGACGAGTGGCATTAAGAAGAGACATTGGAGCAGCTAAACTTGACCTAAAGCTCATCAAAACAGCCTGTGTGTGTGTGCTATTTTTGAAGCTTTTTAACAAAGCAAGTCTGTAAATAAGAATATGTTCTTAACTATGACGGCCTAACCCGGCCAACGCTGGGCCAATTGTGCGCTGCCCTATGGGACTCCCAATCACGGCCGGTTGTGATACAGCCTGGAATCTAACCAGGGTCTGTAGGGCTGGGAATTGCCAAGGACCTCGCGATACGATATTATCACAATACTTTGGTGCCGATACGATATGTATCGTGATTCGATACTGTGATTTTATTGCAATTCAATGTTCTAAACATATCGCTCACCATATGTCTGTTGTTGAGGGACAAGAGGGAGTCATGAGAAAACATGTTTGGATCAGTCATGGAAATAAGTGCTGAAAACAAATTGGCTCCCTATTTAAAGAGATGGAGAACAAGCTATGAATGAAAAATACTGACATTTGTGCAAACTAGCGCAAATCATATTGAGATACTGTCAAAATGATACATCGTCAAAATAATATCCTGATATGTAACCATCAATTCCCCCCCCCCCCCCCACCACTATTCAGATATGGGGTTTAGGGCTGGATCCAGTCTGTGATCTTCCTCCACTGCAGCAGTCTAGGTGTCTAGACATGCTAGGGAACCCACCTCGTGAGATCCATGGGAGAAGTTCATGCGAGCGATGTTCATCCCAGACTTGATCATCTCCTTCAGCATGTCCACAGAGCGGGAGGCTGGCCCTGTTATGACAGATAGGGGTTAGAGGTCGGGTTTAAATATCGGCATACATACACTAGTGTGATGTCATACAGTAGGTATTTCATAGCATCATCCTATAGTAGAGGGCCTTTAAAATGCTGATGTAAAAATAGTATAGGCCTACAGACATTTGAAAGCTAGTATCCATTGGGTGTGTGTGTTGGGTGATATACTGGGGTATTTGGAAACGGCCACGGGATGTTTTTCAATACCGTCAAAGCTATTTCTTTGAAGTTTTGTTTAATACATTTGTAGATACTTTAAGTAAATACCTGCAGTCAACTTGTGATGAAGATTGCGTTCTTCATTTCACCTATCACAATTTATTATGAAGCTTACCGGTAGTCCCCAGTCACGTGGTGTTTACAAGCACACAACGACGAGAGACCGGAGCCTTGTGAGGCACTCACTGTTGTGCAGCACGCGCCCAGCACGCGCCAGGTCATCTAGTTACAGTAAGGAATTCACAACTAAAAGTTTGCCAGCTAGATATCTAATAACTATTAAATTAACTGTCTAAAATGTGCTAAATGCTCTGCAGTTGTGCATTTGGTTTACTAATTTAGTAGTTAGTTTGCCATCTAGCTGAAGCAGGATGTCGGTCCTCTATATAGTTTAGGTCAGAGACAAATTGACAATGCGTTCGTTAGCATTCTCTATGGGATTTCACATGTACGTGTTAGCATTGCTAACCGGCAGATTACAGAGGCTCAGTGGGGTTTGAAAATGTGGCCCTTGTGTTCAGTGCCGGTATTACCGAATATCCCGGGATGGCACAAGGTTGGTATGAAGGTTTGACAATCTGGATACCTCCCAAGCCTAGTGTGAGAGTGTGTGGCCACTGACCGATAGTGCAGATGATGCCAGTGTTGCGGGCGGTGGTGGGCTCAGAGTCGATGTCCAGCAGGCACATGTGCTCCAAGAAGGTGTCGGCCATGGCAGCGCCGAGCTGCTGCGTCTGGACGAAGGCAGAGCCCATGTCTTGAGACTTTGAACCGGGCATGATGGCAGAATTTGAAGAAGTCCTGGAGGAGAGAGAAGAGGTGATATGAAAGGCATACTACTAAGACAGTAAGGGGCCAATGGTTCACGCAATTCAGTTTCTCCAATCTCTAGCATTATCAGGTCATGGACTGGACTGCCACATTAAACACAGGACCACACTGGTTCATGAAACCATCCACTTTAGATCCAGTCTACAACACAGAATTGCGTAATGAATTAGCACACAACAGCTTTTTGAGGCACAGTGTGTGGCTTTGAATCAATTGAAGTCTGTGCAAATAACTGTTTGTGGAATGAGGAACCTATTCAGAATACAACTACAGCTGAAAAAACAGGAAGTGTGATTGAAGCCCTTCCCTGCACCATAGACAAAGACATGGGCCTAAATACAATTGATCTAGAACATGCCTGGGCTACATATTCATGTTGAGGCTATTCCTAACCAGTAACATTCCACAGAATTCTCAGATTGAGGCGCACATTGAGCTGTTTGTAGATTGTGTTCTCCCCCTCCTCCCCTGGACTGAGTCACCCATGGCAACGGCAGCCCGCAGCCCTGGCTGGCACAGTGTTTTCATTACTTCCTCCTAGCCCAGGACAGATCACTTTCAACATGGCTCAATACAGAGCTGTTGAAAACAAGGGAACATTGAGAAGAACGGCCTCAAACCAAATAGGTTACTTCATAGTATTATAAAGTTATCATGTTCAAGACTCTTCCATTTTCTAGTGTCCATCTTTACAGTATTACACAACAGGTTCTTCTGTAGGTCAGGCCAAATTCTCAATGGCAGGCTAAAAAACTGTCAATGAGGTAGCTCTGTTTGTGTAAGGTGGAGCATCTCTACTTTGAGAGTGTGGAGTCTGAGTCAACGCTGCAGTCTGCTACAGGGGCTCTGTTGCCATGGTTATATCACCCAGGAATGTGGCAATATATAGCCTACATACCACATACAAAGGTATGACGAGGGGAATCACTGGAGGGCTGCCCTGGACACAGACAGGGTTAACAAGCAGGAGTAGCCTAAACACTAACCAGTGGAGAGTTTTGACTTTCACCTAGTCTAAATTATACAGTGACACTCACATGAACATGCTCACTGATTGCTTCTTCAAGGTGGAGCTTCTAGGAAATACTAAGCTTTCTAATAGGCTACATCTGTTGGTCTACCTTGGTGCATGTTGTGGTGAACAGATGCCAGTTTCACTAGTCTGGCAGACCTTTAAGACACTACTTAAAAGCAGATGAGATAATCTGCAGAATGCATAGGGACAGAGAGAGCATGTTATTCTCCTCAATAGCGCCGCTTACTGAAAAGCACAATCGTGTCACACATTTCCCCTCAAAATTACTAGCCTAGCTTGAATTAGCCGAGGCTAGATTTGTTAGCCTAACATTTGCATTAGCCAATGTTGTATTCCGCACCCCAAAACCTCTTTGTTCTCATTCATTTGGCTACAGATTCTCCTCTCTGCAAGTAGGCTATTCAGTAGGTCTGGGAATTGCCTGGGACCTTAGGATATTATCACGATACTTAGGTGTCGATATGATATGTATTGTGAGTCGATACTGTGATTTTATTGCGATTCGATGTTCCAAACATATTGCTCACCATATGTCTGCTGCAGAGGGACGAGAGAGCCATAAGAAAACAAGTAATCAGTCATGGAAATAAAAGGCCTGACAGAATTGGCTCCCTATTTAAAAATACTGGAGTTTTGGTACAGCCAACTAGCGCAAAAATAATATTGCGATATTGTCCAAAATAATATCCCGATATGTAACTATCGATCCCCCACCATCACTAGTATTTAGGGCAGGCTACCCTCTAGAACCAGGCCTACACACAGCTCATCTCTTTCAGTGTGTAAATGCATCGTGACAGGGCCATTCCACACAGCAGCAGTAAAACCAATAGGCGGCAGCTCAGTGACATCACAGAGCCAGCAGCCCAGTGTTGTACGTGAGCGTGGTCACATCCTGCTCTCTCCAGACTCCCAACTGCACACACAGAATGAGACAGCAGGGGCTAGGGGTAGCCCCCAGACAGAGCACAGTGTAGACTGCATAGGGAGGCTGCTGAACAGAAATCATACAATGTCTTATCTCAAATGAGGCCTAGATTATTATCCCTGGAACACACTGTTTACAGCAGCCGGCAGAAAGCCCAACAGGGTGATTTTATTGTGCCAACACAAAGGCTGGTTAGGTAACCAACAACAACACTTGACAAACTCAAGAGGTTGTCGATATCAACTTCAACATTTGCAAATGAAGTATGCACATTGAAATCAGTGCCATAGGCTACATAAAATGCATACAGTGCCACTTTATAATGCAGTTGTTGTTTATATGGTCAATTTGGTTTAATTCCTTCCTTTGATATCAACCGGCTTCGTTTGGAATTATCCTACAGGCCTCTGAGGTTGTCCTGACATGACCCAGCCTGCTAGGCTTCCTCAGTGAAACCCTCCCTACCCTGTGACGAACACAAAGCTAGGCTGATGATGGCTCACCAAAAGATGCTCTACAGTCCAAGGCCATGCCAAGCCAGTCTAACCCACCCTTTATTACTGAGAGACACCATTCATAAGCCTGTGACAAAGATGTAAAGTATGTTAGGGCTGACCTAGGGCCAGTGACACACACCAGTAATAAACCTAAGTGACCCAGATGCATGTCTAATTTTAGAGCTGCCTGCTATCAATCCTTTCCAACAGCACCGCTCACTGGAACAGAATATGCATCCCTGCTCTCCATGCCCTTCCTTTCACTTTCTGTCTATGCCTACATAACACCCCCCCCCCGCTTCACTCACAAATTCACACATGCATGCCATGCACACACTGCGATGCCTCCACTGCGCATTGGCAGCATAGCAAGAGGTTGCCTTACAGGATTTACGTTGCATGACATTCTAGGAGCAGCCATGATGACACTGACGTAGCCTATAATCCTGCACTGGTGACCTCAGAGAAGCCCAGCTCTCTACGCTACATTGATTCAGTCTCGTCATCCAGCTATGTGACGTTACATACCAGTAGACCTTTCTGTTCCTCCTGGGGAACGTATAAGCACGTAGCTGCCACAGACCTCCAGAGGATCCCCAGTCTGTGTGACCCCCGGTCCCAACAGAGCGCAGCAGAGCTAACCGGACAAGCATGGACTCCTGGTAGAGTGACTTGCCTGCCTATACACGGCTCAGGAATAAATCCTCTTCTCTTCAGTGAAGACAATGTGCTGCAGCACACACAGTACAGGCTGCTGCATCCATGGAGCAGGCTGCCTGCCCTGATACTGCAGATATACATGAGACCTTCAAACCCACCGTTTACCACAGCCATACTATGCTTGCAGCACTAGGTCATATTACCCCTAGGGCTCTAAAAATGGTGGATGTGTATTCTAATAATAACACAGGGTAAGCCTATGTAGAAGAGAAAACACTGCCTGGGATTAGTGCATTGCATCATGCTGCCCTGGGGTGGCAGTAGTCATACGTCACTGGGTGGGTGACACCATTGCATTCTGTGCTGCATTGCACAGCAGATAACCATGTTCTGCTGGGCTGCAGACTAGCGTTACTCAGCACCTGTAGCCACTATGCTAGTCTCACATTGCCAGACAGCGAAGAGCAGGAGGCAAGGCTACCACTATGCATGGCAGAGACACCAGCTGCGGCAGGCCTACTGCAGCAAAACAGATTGTCACTGTAGACCTACACCCCTCAACACTGCAGCAGGTTAAGGACAGTTCACAGAGGAGCCATGGCTATATTTCTTCTTACTCAACTCTCAATGGCAGTGGAGTACAAGAGAGACCAGGAGTATGATGTGCAGAATAATGAGTAATAGGTGGGGTTTTCAACCTGGGGATTCTGGCTTCTTATTCACCTCATTGCGAATAAACTTCAGAGGAAGAGCTGCCTAGTCATTCTTCCTGTGTACCGTTAGGGGTTATTTCATGATTTGACACTGAGTAATTTCCTGCTGTAAGTTTCCAAAGTGACACCATACTGAGTGTATTTCAGACAATTACTGTGGGGCCTGCAGCATACGTGCTTCCAGCCCAGTACTCTGGGTATGCAGATTGCCGAATAGGGCACTAACGTATACATTATAATCTAGGCCTCTCACACCCCTACGAGATGCACTACGTTGGAACATACCATAGTATAGCCCAGCCCCTTCCTCCACAAGATTCCTAACCTACTGAGATATGCTACTATGCCCTAGCGCCCCAAAATAGAAGCTGGCTCCCTCAAGTGACCTGGCTGATGCAGTGTAAAGTATAGGGCCAGGGTGGCTTGTATTTCCTCCTACACTAACACAGGGCTCTGGGCCAGAAGAATCTGTTCCATCCATAACAATGGCTGAGCATCTCAGGAATAGTCCTAACCAGACATAGGAGCACTAAACCTTAATTTGAAGCCTAAATTAGTTCTGAGACTGACTAACCACACACATTTCAGATATGAAATGTGCAAATTGTTAAAGCTAGTCTAGGCAGGCTTAATCAAAAACCAATTGAAACAGTATGAAGCCAGCAAAGCAAGATCTCTTGTAGGCCTATATGACCATTTGACATGGAAGGTGGGAGAGATGGAAGAACTCTGACCAAGGGTCAGGGTTTGATGCAGGCTAGCTGATAGAGCTATAGTAATGATGTATGACTAGTCAATAAACAGGCACTGCAGAGGTATTCTAGAAGGTTGCACAAACTCATCCCAGAGTCAAAGCCTATCCATTCTGACATAGTGCCCTATAAAAATCTGTTTCTTTTGTCACGATTCAATTTTTTCCCCCCTCCAGGTTCACTCTCAAAAATCACTTTTTAAATAGAAAAACTAAAATTGGATGTTCTAAGTCCACAACAATGCTTAAACCACATCAGGAGTCCGCTTTTGATGTCTGGGGGGAAAAAAATCTAAATTTCGGGGTGTAGTTATCCTTTAATTCCAGTACACACCTAGCAAAACTCAGTTTTTTTGCGGTGTTTTTGTAACCCACATCTGATAGTAGTTTGCAAAACAAAAACCCACTGGATTGATGCAAATTATCATTGTAGCATTCTGCCAGGTAAGTATTTGGGAAAGCCTTAATGTTACTAGCATCATCGCTAACTGCAACACAAAGTAGTTAAGCGCACCGCACATACAGGGGGGAATTCTCCGTGCCTCTTCAGAAATACGAGGCACTGATGCCTTCTGGTAATGTCTTATGATAAACTTGTGCAAATTAATTTAATACATTTAGTTGATTCCCCTACTAAAGTTCAAAACATTTGAATATTGTTGAATTCCGTTTTAATGTCTGGATTCCTTCCGCGTTCTCCGGATCGGGAATTTTATAGGGCCCAAGAGTTTGACAGGTCAGTGAGGGCATACTACTGCAGTAAAGGTGCTTGTTCTAGACTTATTTCCAACAAAAGGACACCAGACAAAAGGATCCGTTACCAACGCAGGTGCCACAGTGAGAATAACAGTTTTGTTCAGGAGGCCGGGTGGACCGCACATCTCATAATTATTATTAAAACAACCGATTAATTAAATTGGTAACATGAGATTGGTCCCAGTCATCAGTTTGCAATACAGTGCATCCACTGATGCGCCACAGGTCACGTTTCCATCTCTGCGTCACATTTTCAAGAACTCGAGATATCGCGAAGAGAAACTGGCCAATGGAATGCCAAGTTCATCGGGCAACCACACCCACCACGTAAGACAAGAAGACAAAACTCACTCGTATTCTTCCCGTTTTAAAATAAAAATGTTTTAGACTGACATGTTAGTTCATGACAAATAACACCACTCAGAAAATAGTAGTTAACTAGTAAGTTCACCTGTATGAATAGTTAACTGGAGAAAGCTGCCTCTCACTGAGTTAGTCACTGACAAACGACACCATTCTTTGTATGACTACAACACCATTGTTTTAAAGTTGAAAAGGTTTAACATGGTTCCAAGTGACCATTACAGTTAAGACTTACGTTAAGTGACCTCTTACTAGGTAGCTAGACAGTTATCTTTTGGCATACATCCCTTGCCTGGGACTATGCCACAAAAGAAACCAGCTGCCAAAACAGAATATTTGAACGTCAATTGAATAAAAGGGACATTTGGTGACAGAAGTCCAGCAAAACAAAAGTACATCATGTCATTAGCTAGCTACAGCTCTTGTGATAATACTCACCTTATCTCGATGCACGACTGCTAGACTGACGTATTTCTCTTATACCCAGCAGCTCAAGGTGATCTCCCAAACTAAACCGGAACTATTTTTGTGCGATCCATCACGTATCCATCCGCGATAAAGAAGTAGGTCCTATTAAAATTATATCATGAATTCAATCAAAATATATGGTTTCAATCATTCATACATATTTAGAATGTATTTATGTATGATTTATGATGTATTCTTTGAAGAAAAAACCCGGTAAACTAGGGCTTGGAACTATAAACCAAGGGGAATAAAGGAACATAATGGAAGTGCGGTGATGCGATACCGCTGATGTCCAATCACGAACCTGAGAAGCATCTCTGAAGCATGGGGCCGACATGTGACTCAGGGATGCGGTACAATTTCTCGAACATCTCATCGGAATGGGTACCATAGCGTCTTATATTCAATTACCTGCATTTCAGTGACACTATGCTCAATCTCACTGTATAGTCGATAGTTGCATAAATATATGCGGGAGATGTGAAAATCCCAGGAAAGAGACACCAAAAAATGCATGTACATCCTCGAAGCCGCAGTGCCTCATGGGATGCACCATGACTGAAAGGTTATATTATTGTGTAATTAACAAATATGTCAGAAAATGATCGTGTCTCGCTCTCAAACAAATCAGTACCTCTATCCTTTCCAGTCTCCACTCATCTCACCCACACACATAGTATCTGATGAGGATGACGACGATATTTTACATAACTGTAGTTACCACCACGATACTACTAATCATGCAAGGCAGTTCCCCACCATATCACTTTAACAGTTTAATTTTTCATTCAGAGACTTCAGAGGGGTCTGTCAGCAGCACCAGTTTAACCACAGATAGAAGGAGACAGTTTATAGGATGAGATCATTTATAATCAACAGCTCCCTCTAGTGTTCATTATGAAGAAGAGCTTAGCTGAGGCTTAGCTTGCTGTGGCTAAACTACAGTTGAATATTCCTTCCCACAGTACAAACCTTTGATAGTTTCCCTCTTTAACATTTTCTCTTACTTTTATATCATGCTGTATATTTTTGGTAAAGTAGTTATATAAACAGAAACCCTTTCACTCAACGCGAGCTCTTATAACAGATGGGAGTGAGACTACATGACTAAAATGTAAATGTACATGTCCTGCCTAACCCTCATCAAGCCAAGTTAGAGGCAAATTCCTACCTGTTGTCACTGTTGAAGTGTTCTAACTGTGAAGCGATTGTCTACATGTCATCATGTACACCATTTAGTCCTGGAATGTAACCCCTCCCTCCCTGTCCCCTCCTACAGTAGTCCTCACCTGATCTCAACGGTAACGTTGCTGCAGCTGCTGCCACTGCCCATGTTGGCTTCTCCCTGGCCCCGGCCAGACTCTGGCTGTGTCCTGCACTCTGCTCTGCTTCCTTAGACCAATGGACACCTGCCCAGGTGAGGGACATTCCCTCCAACCCAATCACCTGGTCACGCTG